GGACCTTATAAATATATTTGTACTTATTGTTAAAGAATTAATAGATTATTGGTACACATTCTGAAGTGTTTATTATGGAGTTATAAAGGAGTAAGTAATGATTTATTAATGATTACTACTAATGCTTTGTAGATCAACTAAAAAACCTATAAATAAGAAGAACATTTGGGTTGCCAGGTTGTGGAAAATCCTCTTCTAGCACAACACTTTTCTTTCTTTTCCCACTTTCCAATGGAGTGCTTGATTTCTTATCATCTGAGAAAGTGCTGCAGGACATCTGGACCAAAATCCAGTTATAGTCTGCTTTCTAGCATTTACAACAGTTGCCTGTTGACACATCTGGCAGGCACAGAGCAGCTACAGCATTCATTTGGAGTTACCTTTCAGGATGCCTAATTTGAGCTCTGTTTTGTTCTCCACTATCTGGTTCCATTAGCGACTAAATGCTCTGCTTTCGTCACCATGTGTTTGTGTCGTTTGATGCAGGGCATTTAAGGTAGAGATATTTAGAGAGATAGAGATATTTCTCTGAGAAGAGCTACCTGTTATGGAAACAAATTATTTGAGTGAGAAAAAAGAAGCAAAACAATAAAATTATGTAAAGCAAAACCAAAGCCATGAACTGAAAGACACAAAAAAACTCCTTAGAACTGCAGATTCTATTGATAATTCTTTGTGGATTTTTGACTACAAGTCGTACACAGTCTTTTATCTGTTGTCAGTATAAAACTATTGATTAAAGCACAAACCAGCCCTATTTTTCTTTCACCTGGTGTGCCCAAACAAAGAGAAATGTCTCTTATAAGGAGATAAGTGTAGTAATGGTTCTCGGGTTCACTTACTAGCAGTCAGACTCTGATGTGTTCTGTCAGTGGCTGATAAAGGGCAGCTGGTGGAGCAGGTGGGTGTAAAACTAGCCCTGTGTTTATTTGTTTCTCATCCCCTCCTGCTGTTTCTCCTTTCTTTAATTTATTTGGGCTTTCCTCATTTCACCCTTCACTCCTCTGTCTGTGCCAGGTCGTTCCCAAGCCCCTTTCCCAGCAGGGATTCACAGATGGAAGCTAAATACAGTAGCTGGTCTAGTTGAACTGACCAGCTTTAGTTCACATTCAGAGTCACAGCAGTATAATCACACATTCTGACCATTGGTTTTGATTGATTTCTAAGTTGGAATGCATGTCTGTTCATCTTGGCGCCTACTATTTAATGGGAAGGCTGAATTTCAACCTTTAAGACGCCTGTTTGAAGAAGCTGTGACCCTAATTCAGCGTGTGTTTGTTTAGCTTTTAGTCCAGAAGGACACACTCACATGAGCAAACAAAACTGAAAGTGCCAGCTACCTTTATGGTCACCACAGGTGTGTTTATCTGATTCTACGCTTGACAAACAACCTTTCTGTCTCAGCTGTCACCTTGAGACACTCAGTCTTTGTTTGGTTGGTCAAAGTTCAGCCTCACCGCCAAAGTTCAAAACAAATGACTGAAAAGCCCTGTTTCCACATTAATGCATGTGTTTGTTGGTTTGTTTGTTTGTTTTTACCAGTAGCATTTGTAAAAACAAAGGAACATAAGCTCATATTTTCAGTTATAATCAGCTGAGAATCACAAACACATAAAATCTGTGAGTCAGAATCTTCAGTCATGTCAATGTATAGTACCTATAAATGACATGGTCAAAAACCGATCACTTGCACCTACACTGTAAATCTACACATTAAGTTAAATGAAGCTAAACTTTATTTGAATTAAATTGGAAAAACGTACACAGTAGAAATGAAACTGTCTCTACTCAGACTGTGTCACAGGCTACACTTGCTGTGCATAACAAAACACTGAGGTAACAACATTTGTTGCCTGTATCACTGAAGTCCAGCCTAGCCCCCTCTTTGCACGGGGCCCTGCCAGGCTCTCCATTACCCCTCTTCCTCGTCCTGAGAGGTTGACTGCCAGGAATGCTCACCACCTGAGAGAGGAAGACTGAGGCGGATGCCGGATATGAAATCACTTCCTGCTCAGGGTCTGAGTATAGGCATGATGGGGATGTTTACACAGTGGACTACAAGGTCTCCTGATACAATGGGGACAGTGTGTTTGTCAGATGATGACAAGCATTGTACTGTAGAAATATATTCTGTCTCCAAGTAGATCTCCAGTTTGCTATGTATTGTCCTGTTTCACGTTGGAATACCCATGTTCCTATTTTGTTGGGGAACATTCAGCTTTCTGCAGTGTGCCACAGGAAACCACTTGGATGACAAGCATAGCCTTTGTAATCATGTCACTGCTGTGGCGGGAACAGAAACAACGAGTTATCATGTCTCTTCAAGCACTTGTAGTTTGACATAAATTTGGCAGCAGTGGAACTCGGCTCACTCCTGCAGGCAGTGGACGTTTATCTGGACTCATACATTTAAACATCTGTCTGCAGAATGGTACAGTGGCACAGACCTGAGAGCAGGTGTTCCAAATTATCTGTGTCAAATGGGTTCTTCCTTCCCCTGAGCCGTATCTTGGCCTGTTTGATGGACTTGTTCACTCTCCCAGGCCACAGCAAGGGTTTCTCTGCTACCCACACTGTTTGTGTGTGATAGCTGCACACAAACACACACAGTTGGTTTGAATTCTCTGGACAAAGAAGAACATTTCCCAGTGTTTTGGGTGATTTGTGCAGTATTTTAGATGGGTTAACCATGCCTACACATTGGTAAGCAAAACAACACCCCTCCATGACCTCCATCCATTTCAGCTGACAGCCAAGAAATGTGTAATAATCCATTTTTGACAATAGGTAATAAAACTTAAACTCTCTAGTAAGTCCAGTCACTCTGGCATCACACAAAATACTGAAACCTGCACTGACTTTGGCCTAATTTAAATATTTTATAAATATTATTATTATCATGTGCTGAAACAAATTGTTTGAACAAACCCAAGTTTATTCATGGATTAGAAGTTCATTCCATTAATTCCGCCTAATTCACATTTACAGCTTCAGCTGCTCAGTTTGATTTGAATACATGATCAATGTCAGATCAATACAAGAAGAGATAGTTTTACTGTTGATGCATCCTTCATGGTCTTATCTGTACTTCAGGTGCAGAAGAATTTTGTCTGTACAAGGGACAGAGTATTCTGTGGAGCTATACAGCCTCACTTTTACATAACATAAGTGGCCATAAGTACAGTCTGTGTTAATCTCACAGCGCCATCCCCTCAGAAGTCCCCTCACAACCTCTGATGCCAAACTGTGCAGCTTGGCCGTCTTATTTGACCTCTTCCAGGCCGATGGTGATGCGAGCCAGTGGTTCAGGCTGGAGCTCAAGGCCTCTGGAACCAGAGCCTGCAGGTAATGAGGCAAAATCTTGACCCTGTAGAGGGAGCTGTGGCTCACACGTTCTGTCACATACAAGTCTCCACAGAAGCCTAGCAGCTTGGGGGTATGCTCCTTCTCCTGTAGCGCCACCATCAGGAGGAACTCACTGAACTGGAGAAGAGCCCAGATAGACTTGGCTGCCACTCAACCATCCTGGTTGAGCCGTCTAATGACCCTGTCCATGCAGGTAAGCCTGAAAGTAGGTGGTTGATACAAAGTGGTTTAATATGTGACAAGAAGTATGACTAAAAATATATACAATAAAGAGTGTGCATAAATACCTTTACAGAGTTTCTGTATCCAAGATAAACAAGATTATAAAACACATATTCTTGAAACAATAATCTGCTAAATTTAAGCAACTAGTTTACAAGTGACTCTTCTCTGTATGTGAATGAGAGTGAGACAGAGATGCACAGGAAATGTTATAATGAGAAGTAATGTGGCATAACCAAATTACATACTGATTTTAAAAAAAAGACCCAGAGTCTAATGCATTTCATTAAAATCATCCAGAGGTTAGGTTTGACAAATAAGCTCTGGAGTTTGGAGCCCCATCAGTCTCCACTGGATACTCAGTACCACATTTGATCACAGCAGGTTTCTCCTTCCACTGTACACAAGGACAAAATGTGAAAATATAAAAAATATGTCTTAATCTCTGCGTGGGATTTTTTTGAAAACAGCAAGAACTGGCTTTATTCTTAAAGCAATAGCGTCATACTATCAGCGAAGGCCACTGCGAGTCTCTGCTTGCTGTCTTTTTACAGCTCGGCCACACGAGGGCAGTATTGTACGGCCCCTCTAGTGGACTCGACCATCCTGCTGGTCTTTGGAGTCTGTGCTGCTCCCCTTGCCCAACAGCACTGTGCAGACAAGTCCCATGATAGAGCAGACGTAACAAGTATCATGCAGTTTCCTTTATTTTTGTGCAGACAAAGCCTCCATTTTATTCTGGATCCCTGCACCTGGCCTCTCCATGAACACATCCAGTCATTCCAGCCAATTTAGTTTCAATTATCAGACTTAATGTGTCTGCACATCTCCAAGGGTGGCTTGGATGTATATGCTGAAGCAGTTCTCTAAGGTACCATAGCACGGCCCAAAATTCCTCCTGAATCTTGTGCAAATGATCTGATCAGCGCAACTACCAGGTAGTCGCTTGGGGGTAAAGGAAATTTGACCAAAACGCATGGGTCTACTTTTTCTACCAGCACTCAGAATGTTTAGATTGTGTGTCCAATTTATGACCAATTAATACAGAAAACTTCATAATTCCAAATGGCTCACATCGTTTTTCTTGTCAGTGCAGGTGGTTAACATTACATGTACATGATGGATGTTAACTCCAGCTACTGCAGGTTAAAAAGCTGCTGCTTAGTGTTTGTAGCTACCTTAGTCAGTTAAGCTCATCACTGATTTCTCATTGCTCAAAGGAGTAAAGGAAGTGAAAACTCAAAAGAAGAAGAAGAAATAATATATTAATTTGAACTCACCCATGATGCCTGGGACTTTGCATATTTATCTTATCAGCTTTTATGACTGGTAAAAACGGATCTTATACAAAAGTAAAATCTTTATTTTATGCGATATTTAATTTTTTTTAAAATATAATCTTATTCCTGTCTTGCAGTCGATAGGCTATATTACCCAAATTCCAACGACACACAAACCTTACAGGCATTTGTATGTCTGCTAATTTCGGTCCTTATTTATATTAACAGGAGTTAAATATGCAAGGCAGGGTGTGCTGACCTGCTTTCTCATCACAGGCAGCCCTGACCGGAAGCACACAGCAGAGATTTATGCCGGCGAAACAAAAACCCAGCAGACATCTTTCCCTTTAAAGAAGCGCAGTGATGCGTCGCTGGGAGACAGAGGTTGCGCTCATCGGGAGACCCACTGTTTATTTCTGTGCCACAGTTATGCCCAGTTGCATCTGATGGGATCATGTCTGCAGCGCCTTTACTCTGATCGGATGTGCTGGTGATCACAGCTGGATGCTGAGGAGGACGTCTTTCATTTTGGGCTGTAACTGAGATTTTCTGGCCCATATGGAGCTGAATTCTAAGACGCATTCTTGATCTTTTTTCCTCCTGCGAATGATTTGTGCTGAAAATGTGGATTACGACACCATATTTCCGAGGTCCCGTGTTGTCAGTCCTCTGTGCGTATCATGGGACATGCTGCGATTAATTATTAGGCGCGGGACTGGGTTATGTGCGATGCATGTTGTAGGTTTTCTGTGGGCTGTAAGGATGTGATCGGGCAGGGTTCGCTGGTTTCTCGATTCGCTGCCTCCCAACAGAGTCGCTCATGATGCCCAGGGCTTTGCGGAGACTGGTCCATTTGGTGCTGTTCTGTCCTCTGTCCAAAGGCCTGCAGGTATGTGTGTGCAGCGTGATGGCAGTCTGCACGGAGCCCACACGGTAGCCCAAATCATATGCATGTCAAACTAGCAGTACAAAATGTGCGTCGATCGATGCCATGTCAGTCCAATCCACTTGCACCACAAAATGTCATGAACATTAAAAAACGGAGACAGTTGCCATCAGCACAGCAGCTATCTCGGTTATATTCAAAGGCCAGGTGTTCGTTCATTTGTTGTTTAGTAGGCCTCAGCTGTGGAAAGTATTGTGCTAGAAATGATCCTTTCCATTTTTTTTTGCTATTACTTCTATTCTATTTCAGATTGAAATATTGCAACCTACTTTTTACTCCGCTGTATTTGATGGTTGCTATATTTATTTGGCCTGTCTTACCTGCCTGCAGCACACATCGCAACCACCTTAATATTACTTAGTCATGTTTGACTCAATGTTTTAAAATCTTATGTTTAAAAAAGAAAGATGCACCTGGTTTTATTATTTATTTACTGAGTCGAGGAGGAGTCCTGTTTCAGGCTTATACCTTGAAAATTCTAGGAAAAGTTTATTTTGCAGTGTAATATATATACTGTATAATAAAAAACTCCACCTTAAACAGCTATCATTAAAATTCATGGTAATAATATTCCTATAAAATATTGTATAATTTGAAACATTATGACATGGGACAGTCTGCGTTATGAGGCAGAATGTCACATTGCTTGCTTACTTTTAGTTCATTAAAATGTTTTCATGCAGGACTTTTACTTGTATCTTTTGCACAGTGAGGTATTGATACCGTACATTCATGAGTAGATGACCTGTGTGTTCCTTCCCATTTCTCCCTTTGTCCAAAGAGTCGTCTCCCAGCCATAAAGGTGAAGTACCTTCTCCTGGCATGGCTGGGCATCCTCATTGCCAGCTGGGTCGTCTACATGCAGTATGCCTCTTACGCTGAACTCTGTCGTGGACATGTCTGTCAGATGGTCATTGTAAGTAAAACCTCTCATTACTCTTTAGTCAGCGTCTTCACTTCCCCCATAAAACCACAGTGTTTGTCTAACATGAAAATGTGAGCTTTACAGGTGCTGATAGGGAGATTCTGTTGCCTTTGGACAGAGCCAGGCTGCAGTAGCTGTTTTCCCTTCTTACCAGTGTTTGTGCTGATCTAAGCTAACTGGCTTCTGGCTATAGCTTCATATTTACCTACAGATATGACATCCAACATTTTGCAAGAAAGAGGATCCATGTATTTTCCACAGTACTTATTTGCTTCAGATAGTCGCCATTGCGGATCTTTTTGCTCTCTGTGTTTTTCTCCAGTCAGTTTTCATACTTGTTAAGCCTGTTTGTCTGTCCCTTCCTCTCAGTCGTTTATGTGAAGCAAGGCTGGTATGCCACATGACCTTTCACCCCTGTACTTAGTGTACCATGTGCAAATGAGTTTCTAAAACATCAGTGATAGTCTGATAAACTGCACAGAGGATTGAGCAGTATTTATTTTATAAGCTGTGACTCAGGAGAGAAGTCATGTCTGTGCAATAGCACATAACAGACATTTGCAGTTTGGAATTAGTATTTTTTGCATAACACTTACATTTGTTTGTGTGGTCAGTTTTTCACCTGAACCTGACCTTGTCAGCACATACATATTTATATCTTACAACAACAACTGCTGCAAAGATTTGGGTGCATGTTTACAGACCTAGGAGGTGGAAATGAACAGATATCTTGAAATACTACATGTAAGATGAAACACTAGATCTTCTGACTGTTTCCTGTGTTTAATGTAATACATTTCCTTTTGCAGTGTGATCACTATAGAAGGGGCATAATATCAGGTTCATCCTGCAAGGCGTTATGTGATCAGAGAGCGCTTATCTTGCAGCGCTGCATGTCCACATCCTCTACACATCAGGTAAAATGAATACTAAATAAAGTGTGGCACAAGTCTTATTTATAGTATTTTAAAGATATAAGCACGGAACCATAAGGCCTTTGAATATTCAGTATGGCGTTGTCCTCACACACACATTTCAGATTTTTTTCCCCCTTTGTTTATTCAGGGTAGGTCCAATGAGAGGCCGCTTTTCTTTTGCAGGGATGCCCTGTTCATATTCACATCTGGAAGCAGCCCTGTACAACCACAGTCTGACCTGTGGCCATTGAGCAGTTTGGGTTAAAGACCTTGCTCAAGGGCGCCACAGTGAGGGTGAGGCAACTGTCCCACCCAGAACTAATCCTGCCAGTCCGGCAACCCTCCGCTCACAAGCTCGCCTCTCTAACCTTTAGGCCACCACCATGATAAAGTTAAGAACCATGACATGAGATTCTCATTTTATTAGGGGATATTTAATGGATCACTGATTTACAATTTAGTGTGGAACACAAATTTTTATGACCTTTTTTCATTATTTTTCTGGAGGAACACAAAACTGCTGATCAGGCTTTTCCATGAAAAGAGAATATGACAACAAGTAACACAAGGATATTTTTGTGTTTGGTACCAAATGTAGTCTAGTGTAATCCAAAATGTACTAAATCACTTAATCTCACAGTGAAGTCAGTGTGAAAAACAAAGCTGCTGTATTAAAAACGGTTGCGGACCACTGACGTTCACTGCATCACACGCATACTGTACCAGCACAGAGTCAGTATTCTCTTACTGTTCTCACATTTTTGTACTTGTAGGTGTACAGTGGACTGTGGAAAGAGAAACCTGTTGTGATCAAGTGTAGTATTGAGGATAAAGTGAAGACAGATGGGGCACCAGACTCTGTACTACGACAGGAGATGAGCTTATTTGACAAACCCACTCGTGGTACCTCGATGGATGAATTTAAAGAGATGCTGCACAGTTTCCTCAAGGTAATTTTTACTCAGCAGATAAATTCTCTCACCATAGTATATTATGGAACAGCTACCACAGAAATGTAATGCCAATGTCTGTAGCCTATGACATGCATGCTGATTTTTAAAAAATTCTTTATATATAAATAAAATTTTATTTTCATTTATTACATATTAAACCAAGTTGTATAATCATCCTTCTTGCAGGCTAACCTTGATGAACAGCCATCTCTGGGCACTTTGGTGGACAGGGTCATTACTCTGGCTGATGTCAATCAGGATGGCAAAGTGTCTCTAGCAGAGGCCAAGTCTATCTGGGCTCTTCTCCAGATCAATGAGTTCCTCCTCATGGTGGCACTACAGGAGAAGGAGCATACTCCTAAACTGCTAGGCTTCTGTGGAGACTTGTATGTGACAGAACGTGTGAGTCACAGCTCCCTCTACAGGCTTGAGGTGCCTCATTACCTGCAGGCTCTGGTTCCAGAGGCCTTGAGCTCCAGCCTGAACCACTGGCTCGCACCAGCCTGGCCCCGCAGGGCTCGCATCACCATCGGCCTGCTGGAGTTTGTAGAAGAGGTCTTCCATGGGTCCTATGGGAGTTTCCTAATATGTGATGCCAGTCCTCGCCATGTGGGCTACAATTCAAAGTATGACTGCAAGATGGCCAACCTGCGCAGTGTGGCATCTGAGGCAGTTGTGAGAGGATTTCTGAAGGGACGGCGCTGTGAGACTAATGCAGACTGTACTTATGGCCAGGACTGCACGGCCACCTGCGATCGACTGGTGAAGCAGTGTAATACTGAGGTCGTACAGCCCAATCTTGCAAAAGTGTGTGTGCTGTTGCAGGACTTTCTGCTTTTTGGGGCACCTTCAGACCTCCGAAGGGATCTGGAAAAACAGCTACGCACCTGTGTGACTCTCAGTGGTCTGGCAAGCCAGATGGAGGTGCACCACTCACTAGTCCTTAATAACCTGAAGACATTGCTGTGGAAGAAAATTTCTAACACTCAGTACTCTTGAAAACAGGTTGAAATGATCCAACTTGTGCCTCCACATAATGAGTGAATTATTACATAAACATGAGTAATTCTTGCTTATGAAGTTGTGCCAAATATTTCAAAGGAGGTTATTAACATATTTTCATTCTACACTGACTGTGAATAACAGGAAACTGTGAACTTATGATAATAGAAACAGAATTATTCTCTTTAAACCTCATACAAGCCACATTATACTTTTGTTTTCCATTGTGTTATATTGAGAAGCACATGTTTAGACGTAATATTCTCAGGGCACTGCCTGTAACTTCATTTCTGTAAGTAAATAATTTGTTCTTAAAATAAAGTCACCATACATACATGCTGAATATTTTTGGGCTTCATGGAATGACAGAATGTGAAATTGTGACAGGATGTGTTTTTGTGCTAGTGGAACATTGCTGGTTCCTACATACAGTATAAAGGAAATCTACAGCTGAAGCAGCGATAGGATACAACAATGGACTGAATAATCCTCCTGGTACTGATCTGATATTTGACTGTATAGTTAAACTGACCTGTGCAGGTGGAGTTGTAAAGGACAATCAGACATGATTAAAACCTGAATTAACTACTAATCCACGAATAAACTTAATTTTGCTCTTGATCTTACTACTATTCTTTTTGGGTTATAGACTCGGAGCCCATGCATATATATTCTAAACGTTAGTATCTTATTTCTTATTTGCATTCTGCTATTCACTTTACTATTTTGTTCCTTAAAGTAGCTATAAATAAAGGTATCCTACTTATTTGACCGCGCCAAATTCAGGTTGGCGATGACAAAGTGAATAGTTATTCAAAAAGATATGAAAGTGAGTATTTAAATTTCACTAAGGTTAATTATGATAAGACTGAATGTTTGCTCTAAAAGGGTGACACAACCACTAAAACATGGCATCCCCATATTGCCTTCAGTTGCTGTCGGAAATTAAAAACTTTTTCTAAGCAAATACCGAACAGGAGGGGTTCGCAGCCTCTAACAGGTCACACAAAATCAGCAGATGAATAGGTACATAATTACTAGAGACGGTTTATGTGGTGGCCTATTGTTGATGTTACTTCAGATTCTGATATGACTGCTGTAGTTTTGGGATTTTTGTAATTGCCTTACCTCTATTTATAGTTAAAGAAAGAGAAGTAATGTAGCCAATATGCCTTCTGAAAATGGAGGTTTACGAGTAGCATTGAAGGCAGCATCAGCTGGGTTTAGACCAGCTGGTTCTTTTTGCTGCTCGGCTACTGCTGCCGAACAACACAGCGACGTTACTACACAGAGCTAAGGAATATGGGCCTCATTACAACGCTGGCCACTGCTAGAAACGTAGATAACGGTACCCGGAATGTAAAGTCTGTCACGAGTTAAAGAGGAGTTTTACCACCGGCTTAGAACCGTATGTTAGCTAAATGAAGTTAACAGGCTAACGACTGGTTTGGCTACCTTCAAGTAGCTAGCTGCAGTAGCCTGCCACTAATGTTAGCTTCTAAATGAAGTCATCGCCAGTTTGTGTGAGCTGTTAGCCTTTTGAATTAGCTCGTTGAATGAGTGCGACCGGCCTCACTGCCCTGTCCAGCAGTGTCCCTGTTCGACCGGCCTCACTGCCCTGTCCAGCAGCGTCACTGACAGCATTTCGCATAATGTGTGATCATTATGTAGAAGTCAAGGTTCAACTCGAGCAAATGAAATCGTTAGGCGAAGATGCAGAGAAGCAGGGTGTGGATACGGAGCAGGTGCCAGTGTCTTCTGTCTCACCAGACCCTTCCAGCATCACCTTAGCTGGAAGAGATGCATCCAACACCTCCATCACGTGTAAACATAGGGGTAAAAGTCATAGTAAGTCAGGAAAAGACGACAAGAACCTGTGTGGTAAGCACATCTCAGGTGTGTCCGTTTCTACTCATGTTGGGAAAAACCTGAATAGACTAGAGCATGAACAGACACTTCATATCAAAGGAACTGGAAGGATACTGCAGGGCAAGTCGGAGACTAATGGGAACTATGTAACCATCCATCCATCCAAAAACATTCAAGAAACACGCCGTGAGGATGGATACAACCTTGCAAGGAAAAGAAAACCTGTGACTGTGGATTCCTCAAAAGCCAAAACATCTTTGGAGGCACTGAAGTTAAGCATCAAGCAGCTAAAGTGGAAAGAGGTGCGCTACATGAGTTTATTCTATCTTCTTTTGCTGTTTGTTTAGGAGAAATGTCATGTGTGGTGCAGGTTTCATTCCCATGAAACAATAGGGTGCAGGTTTAACTAAGCAGCAGTGCACGGCTTGATCCAGAAATGATCTCTGCTCAGTGCATCAGTGTTTCATTCAGATGACAACTGGCTCAAATGTAGGCAGCAGAGTATGCTTCCATGAATGAAAGCTTTTGTTGTACTGTTCTCCAACTATGTGCCATTAAGAACCATAGGTTTTTTTTTCTTTTTAGGTAAACACAACAGCAGAATTGGTATAAAGTAAGATGTAAATTGAGTCAGTAATGTTCTAAGCTAAAGTGCTGCCTTTTATGTTTTCCTTGATGACATATTTAGAGTATGATGACTTGTGCTTTCCTATTGATTGATTATAGTATTGGGCCTTTTTTTTTTAAGATGACATCACATTTAACCCTGCCACAGTCTGGCAATGTCAGTTTGTGTGTCTCTAGTGTATAAAGTTACAGAGGACAGCTGTTGATTAAAGCTGTTCCAAATGAAAAGCAGCCACCTTAAAAGATATACGAGAGGGTTAATTGATCCCGTTCTTCTTACTCCGAGTAATAAACACCTTCTGGTCAGTTTGAATGTGATGCACTTAAATACCTGGTATCAGCAATTATTAACATGGTTTCCATTATGCATGAGAATTAAAGACAGGTACTGCAGTGAGACTGGTGAAGTAAGACTGTTTATCAAGAGTGACCACACGGTGACATTTAAACCCTATACATCACATTACCATGCTTTGTCCTCGTGGTCCACTCCTAACAATGTCAAGGGCACTGCAGAGCCTGTGTCATTTTGAAAGTATCTGTTATTGTCTCTGAAAGAGTTGAAACTCTGCTAGCCTTGCCCTGTTTGTTTGTAAATTATGGATTGAACATTGATCGGTGAAAATCTAATTTGTAACACCTAGCAGTTCAGTAAGTTTACATTCATAGGCTACCGGATACAGTTTTGGAAAGTCTAAGGGTGTTTTATTTGACGTTAAGGTCCATTTACGGCCAAATTACTGTCTGTCTACATCTGCAGTATTCTCTGACCTGAAAGACAGCTGTCAACTGACTTTCAGCATAAGGTACTTTCATAAACTGTGGGCAATAATTAGCCTTAAGCTCCTCTGTTCCATTAGACCTTTAGTTCTCCTTGAGGCAGAGAGACAATGACAAGTCTGAGTGATAACATCTGGAAGTGAGACTAATAACTGTGCATTTAATCATGGGCTTGGTATTTGATTAGAATGAAAGCACATTCATTTTATTAAAGGGCTGCCACCTTGAAAGGTTCCTTGGAGCATGTCTAGAAGTGATTTAGTGAAATTATAATTTACTAGGATGGAATTTAAATGTCCTACCTATGGATGCTTATTTATGTATTGGCTAGAAAAAGAAATATTGTCCTTTGGGTGGGTGTCACTGAGCAAAGTGGCTTAGAAAATGAACTTGATCTATGACAATGGGCTGAATGTTGTCCCATGTCCTAAATTAATGCAACCTCCTTCTCTGATACTATTAGACAGATGCTGACAGCTCTCTGGCAGTATTTATAGCAGTTCTTTGGCTTTGAGCATGGTTTCCCTGCTTCATACTCATGCTAACCCCCTAACGAGATGTGGCTCTGTCACAGTAGCTGGGCAGTGGTCTGGGATGTTTTGTTGTTTTGCGTCTGACCCTCTAATACAACTTGATAAAGAGTTAATAGACTCCATGACATCACTGTTCCCAGCTCAGTGTTGATGTTTTGAAACTCAGCCGTGCCAAATTTTAATGTGTTAACCATGAGCTGAGTGGGAATCCAGTAGCACATCCTTAAATTTAATCATTCAGATCTGTTTCAGTAGGTTATGAGGATGAAGAGTGCCCCCACAGGCTGTAAAAATGAAACAAATACATTAAAAAAACATATACTTACTATAGAGAATTGTTGTGCCATGTTACTGTCCTGTTTGGACCTCTGCTCTTCTTTACAGTGCGTCTAGATCATTTTAGGAATAACCTCACATCAAGATATTTAGTTATAGCAGTTGATTCTCCTACTCACCTGTAACCAGAGCCTCTCTAACACAGTCTTTCTCATTAGTTGTAGTTGTATCACATCTGCCTACTCACACACTTGTGTGATGCATCCACATACTGAAAACATCTCTTTGTGTTTAAATGGTACCAGTTATAACCTCATTTAATACATCAGCCCAGTTTGTTAAAAAGCCGAAACCCTTTTGAATATAGATTCAACAGAGTCCAGTAACGGTGAGTGTTTCCTTCGGTAGAAAGCTGATGGTGCAGCTGTGTGTAGGAAAAAATATAATAGTGGAAGCTGCCTTAATAGGTTTGGGCATGTGAATAAGAATAGAGGAAAAAAAGCCTTGTCTTGTGCCAGAAGGATTTATAAGCTGCCTAAATCCTTTTATAGTATCACTTCTCCTGCTTCCCAGCTCATCACAGCAGAGCACGCACCGCCTACCATCTTTAGGCAAGATTATCCCAGCAGAGCAAGCCCCCTTCTAGTTGTCTGAGTCATGATTAAGCCCTTTTGAGTTTTCACATGCAAAAAGAATAATTTTCTGAATTAATTTTTCTTGCCGATTTTGTGTTTCTCTCTCCATTCCTTTAGTTTCCTCTGGGAAGACGAACAGCCTGCGATATCTACTGGCATGGCGTTTCCTTCCATGACAATGAACATATTGTCTCAGGGCAGGTTAACAAGTTCCCAGGTATTTCCCCCCTTCTGCTTCCCGCCTTTTCTTCTAAAACCTGCTGTTGATGGACCCTGCTCTAAAGCTCACAGTACTTCATTATTCTGTAATCATAACAGGAGGGATTTAAACTCTTACTGAGCCTCATTGCTCCAGTGCTAATCTTTTTCATACCATCGTAATAATCAGTGCTTTTAGACTCTAAAGATTATTCTTACCTCAAAGCTTACACTCATTTTCCATTACAGAATAGGATACTTGTTCATAATGAGTTACAGTACATAGATGTTTGACAAATTAAAAGAACAGAACAGCTTCAGTGTGTCTTGCCATCGATTCTTAGCATGATTCCTATCATTTTCATCCTCCTCAAACCATTCAGTGACTCCTTGTGCCCTATGGATGTGTTTCTATTGATACTGTCTGCTTACAGAAAACTAGTGGCATTCACAGTCCATTTTCACTTTTATCTGAAATGATGCTTTGTCCATTACAGGAATGATTGAAATGCTGAGAAAGATCAATCTGAGCCGCGCAGTGAGGACTATGCAGGAACTGTTCCCAGAAGAGTACGACTTCTATCCCCGATCTTGGATCCTGCCTGAGGAGTTCCAGCAGTTTTCCACACAGGTATAGTGGCATAATCTCATCACAAAAGCATAATGATGATGAACATGATAAATGGATGTTTTTGACCAATTCCCCCTGAGTATTTCTACGCAGTATATAGCAATATTATACTGTTGTCTGAGCAGAATTGTGCAGTCATGGAAAGCCAAGCTGCACGTCACAAGCACAAGATGACAAAGATTAGAGATACTGTAAGGGTGCTTTCACACCTACAGCGTTTAGTTCGATTGAATCGAACTAGAGTTCGTTTTCCCTCTCGGTGCGGTTTGTTTTGTTTGGTGTGAACACGGTAATCGCACTCGAGTGCGCACCAAAGCAACCACACTGAGACCCCCAAAATGAGGTGGTCTCGATCCGCATCATCTAGCGAACTCTGGTGCGGTCCTCCTGGTGAGAACGCGTACCATACCAAAACGGGACCAAAGGCCGCGAACCACATGATTTGAGGGCATTGGATTATGGGTAGATTTTATTTCCTGTCACCTAAAACATGCGCCAGGATGAATCGTGGGCAAACTGTACGACTTGGTTTAAGTGGTGTTGCCAAGTAACGTAATACAAAATAACCAGGGCGAGGCCCAACCCGCGTATGTTGACCTCCATCCTCTCCTAACCCCATTCTACTCAGAGAGACGCCAAACCGTGACATCTCCCGGTGCCAGCTTTGCAGCTGGCCAGAGCAGTAGTCAAAACATGAGGAAAATCAATGTGTGATTGTCTGTTGATTATGTGGTGTGTAGCTAAAAACATTCTAACACGACCTCTAGTGACATGTCATGACATTAAACACAAGAAAATATTATGGCTAAGGCTACAGTTATACACGTCATAATAATAATATTAAACATCCTGTCTGCTGACAGCCATCAACTTTCTATCATGAGAATGACTAAGCATTTAACAGCCTGAGCTAGACATCCTGTCTACACTAAACATTTCTAATACATCAAGTATCTAACCAATATCGATCTGACTAAAAATACCTAACAGTGGTAAATGCAAGTAACGTAATACAAAATAACCAGGGCGAGGCCCAACCCGCGTATGTTGACCTCCATCCTCTCTCGTCACAGAAACGTGGACTTTCTTCCTTTATTTACTTTTTCTGTTCTCGCATCAGACACATCTGACCAATAAGCGGAGAGAACGTTCTCGCGTAGTTTTACGTGATGTGTTTTGGTGTGCTTGGATTTTTCTGTGTGTGAAACGAAACCGAACCAAGGAGACATTGCTACATGTTTACAAACTCGTCAACTGATTCGGACCAAAGCAAACGAATTAAGGTGTGAAAGCACCCTAAGTGTATGCATAAATGAGATTTATAACCAAGATTTTTTTTTTATAGAAATGTTGCGGCCAGAGGGTTTTTCTTAAACATGTAATGTCAGCCTGATGTTTTATGGAGGGGGTGTGAATGAGGACTGGATGGTGCCTGTTATGTTGTTTACATTTTTCCTTATCTGAGAAAGTTTTGATCTGTTTTTCAGTTCTTACATTAGAGACAGCTAACAGGTCACAGTTATGCTAACTGAGGTAAAGGTTGCAATATGAGCTCTCAGAACCACGTTATAAATAAAAAATATACCAATGATTCAGTCAATATATGAACAGAAATGGCCAGACAGCCTTGGAAAGTAAAGTCAGTGTTTTGTTTCGCCATCTTACTTCCTCTCAATTCTCCAGAATACACATAATACAGCAGTACCGATGCAGATGCTAAACTTATGAAGTCACTTGTAACTTGTACATTTCCTGTGCTGTGGATACTCATCATGATGCACTGTGACAGTAGTGTTCTTAATAATATGACCTGTTTACTTCTTGTTTCATGTGCCCACTTCATTACTCATGTTCCTTGAGGGGTAAACAGGCTGTGAATAGGGGAACAGTGGCAGCGGGTTTTCCTCCAAAAAACAAACACACGCATTTTTTCAACAGCAGAACAAAAAGTGTTTTGTGATATTCATCAATTTAGGAGGAATATTGTTAAGGACAGAACCACTTAAAATATAATTTTCTTACCACCAGTTTTTTTTTATTTTATTTTTTATCCATGACTTTTTTATTGCTAGATAAAGAAGAAAGAAATTATTAGGAAGAATTAGTCAGTGGTATCTACATTCAGTCACGTGTACAACAGCTACTGTAGATTTGTCTTTTATGTTTGATTTAATTACAGAAATTCATTGCACTTTTATGCAGACAAATGTTAGAATATTTGATGACTTTCTTCTCCCCAGCCAACAGCTTCACGTATTTTGGCAGATGGCAGTTATATAATCAGTAATAGGATCAGTGAGGGGGTTATCAGTTTTATTTGATGAATTAGCTTAACTGGTGGTGTAATAATAAGGGCAGATGGTTTGGGTTTTATTTAATGTCTCTATTGCAGTTATATTTCTGTCCAGCAGGGGGCACCTGAACATCACAATTTTAATTTTAGTTTAGCCTCCAGCAAGGGAAACTGCTCCCATTAAACAGAGGTTTTCCTTTATTATATTCTGTATGTCCCACTGTTAATATTTAGGCATTAGGCAGTCCACAGTGGGGTGGCAGTGTTTAGTGCTGTTGCCTCACAGCACTTCAGAAACTTTGGCATGCATCTGTAAGCTGTCTTCACTCAGACTCAGTGATCCTGATTTTTGTTTCTCACTTTTTCACTCCCACATCCGATGTAGATTTGCATGGTGAAGGAGAATGATGCCACAGTGAATCCCACCTTCATTGTCAAGCCAGATGGGGGCTCTCAAGGGGACGGCATCTACCTCATCCGTGACCCCAGTGACCTTAAGCTCATGGCGGGTTCACAAGCCAAACAGGCTGTGGTCCAGGAGTACATCCAGAAGCCGTTACTCGTTGACAAGCTTAAGTTTGATATCCGCCTCTACGTGCTGATCAAGTCCCTGGAGCCACTGGAGATCTACATTGCCAAAGAAGGCCTGACACGTTTTTGCACCGAACCCTACCAGGTAGCAAGTCAAGTCATAGTGTTTATTTGTCATATGCACAGTTACGAAACGTGTTTCCCTGTACAATGAAATTCTGACTTTGCTGTCCACATGAATGCCACAAAAATACAAGTGAAATATAAAGTAGATAAATAACACAAAATCTAAGGCACTTTAAGCAGCAAATGCAGAGATATAGGGGGATAGTTAAATTTAAAAATTCATGCTATATGTACAACCAAAAAAAGATTTTGTATTTCCATAAGTGGGGTGAAACTATGGAGTAATTTAGGTGTAGACATAAAAAATAGTAATAGAATTGACGAGTTTAAACATAAATATAAAGGTATGTGTCAATCAAGATATATGCAAGAACAGGTTCAATGATTAATTAGATGGAACATTGTGGGTGTGGTGTATGAATGTTAACAC